CTCCGAGGGGGGGGATCTATTGTGGATGTGGGGGACTCAGTGGCAAAACATAAATACAATGAAGGCAGTCTTAAAACACTTGTCCATCTTGCACCTGAAGGTTTTATTGAACAGGGCAAAGACATCCTACAGGTGTAGACATGTAGACAGACTCAATTACTTTTCAACAGTTACTTGAAAACAGAAAAGCACCCTGTAAGACAGGAGCCAATCGGATGTCAGGTGTTATTATGTTGCATGACTCAAACTGTTAAAATTGAGAAAGCGTGTAGCTCTCATACAGACTCTGTATTTTCAGTTGAAATTCTGCTCCCATACCACAATTTGCTGTGTCTATCCATCCACAATTCTAAAACATATAAGAACAAACAGTACTCTTTTAATGAACATTTACAACACAAATGCTACTTGGTTATTGTTGTATTTTCTCAATTATTTCTCCAGGAATAATCAGTTTGGGGTTTTAGCTGTGGCCTTCTGTTTTTCTTTTGTGACCATACATGAAACCAGTGGGTGTATTACAACAAACACTGAAGATAATTTAGGGTTAGGGTTAAGGCTGCTATAATTTCAAAGAACTACCGACATAACAGCTGTTTGTGACCTAGCTCCTTACATATACGCTGCACCCAAAATATAGTGATTGTGACCATGAACTTATCTTTATAATAATAACCAATGTGATAAATCAAGTGAAAGGTAGGGGCATTTTCTCATAGACTTCTATACTTTGCAAACAGACTTGTTCTTAGACCAAGGAGTCGCCACCTGCTGGATATTAGAGAGAATGCAGGTTTTAGGCACTCCCACATTGGGTTTACTTCTCTAACCAGTAAGTTCACGCTTCGTTTGAGGAATTTTTTTGTAAATAAAAGGAAAAAAGTGCTATAATGCCCCTAAAATCTGTTCATGTATGATGCATCAGACATTCTAAGTGTTTTCAACCTAATGTATGTTTTCCATAAAGTCATAAGGCATTACAAAAATAATGTTTATAAGTTCAGGTATTACCGCTACTAAATCTCCGTATTTGCATCAGAGATAACAATGAGGTCTAAAGACAATTATGTTTCTTACTGTGTACCTAAAGTTTGCTCATAGCGTGCTATGACAGCTCAGCCCTTTCAGCTCACACCACCTTCGTAGCATTTGTTGATCCTGACTGCAGCCCACATTAAAAACCCAGAGAACAGCAAGACAGACATTCAAAATGAAAGGGGGCAGCAGCCGGGACTCGTTGAGAGAACATCTCTAACCGAGTAGGAGTTGAGTGGGAATACTGGCACAGGACACAGACGTTCTACAGCCACGATGCAGGCTGGATTCTCACCTTTCTTACATCAAATATTTCTGTTATGTCCTTAGAAAGCTGTACCAAGCATTGATAATGTTACACAAAAGCATAGTTGGCATTTGTTTTTTCCTCTTTTGTTAGTTTCTAGTGAATATCTTTAAAAGTCGATTAATCTAAACCAAAGTAAGAATGTCTTCTCGCCAGCTTTGCTCCGAATGAGTAAAGGTTATGCTATCTTCTCTTATGGTTAATTAACCAGTGTTAAAAGTGTTCCCAAACAACACAAACACGATCACCATTTAAATGAAAAATTTCAATGTCATTGCAAATGGAGTAAAGCAAACTTTATAATCATTAAATTACCACATTTTTATGAAATGGCTATAGACAAAATGAAGGTATAATTGGCCTGTTTGGAAGTGGTTCCTAGTGGCTTCTCCTTCATGTTAAGAGTAGTACAATTGGGTTTATTCCAAGATTATTTTAAGGTGAACCAAGATTTTTGTTTAAGTACGGCAATGGTACAAGTGGTAGTAAAATCCACGATACATTGTGCAGTTGTAAAATATAATGCAAGACACTGTGTGTGATATACAGTATTACTTCCAGCCCTCTGTGTGTTATTCTTCAATTACTGCACGCCACATTGTGGATTATCCCTTACATGAAGGCATGAGGCAACTATGCAATGTAATATGCTGTTTAAATGCATTATGCAGTAGTCTACATTATAATACATCATACACATGGGATTGACAGAAAGTGTTACCCTGTTTCATTTTACTCTTCACAAGAAAACGTTGTTCGTTTGTCTCGGATACTTTTGCTCTGTCCCTGTTTTGGAAATAATTGGCCTGTGGTATTGTAGTTCAAGCTAAGCTTAAAAGTATAACATATTTATATAGACGTTTGAGGACCATAAAAGGCATTTCTAGTCATGACACTCCCTCCGAGAGTCAGCAGTGCAGTGCTTGCAGAACTTAGTTTGATGATATGTGCTGTTATAAATGCACATCATATTGATATTTAACACAAGTAGAGGTCCATATATTTGTTGTTACTAATCTGCCACTGCCCTGCTGAATTTGACTTCATTAAAGTGTCTCAAATCAAAAAGGGACAATTCATTCACGGTGAGTTCAAACCAGAGAAGCAAACATGAAATCAAAGGTATGGGATCAGGTGGAAATTGCCATTTTCTTACAACACAAACCAATGTTGACCTGAAAAACCCTCTTACATACACACTCACACACTAAATACACACTCTGCAGCTCTCGGGAGCGGACGCTCTCTTTATATCCTCAAATGCATACATTAAGATGGAGATGTACATAATGTTTTAGTACAAAGAAAAGAAAAAGAAAAACAGGGTGACGACATACTGACAAACACCAGTAAAATATTATGCAATCTATTGTTATCTTTGGAAGACTAACAGATATATTGTTTCACTTTAGGATGTACATTAATCTTCATACACATTGTAGTATTGCGTTTTATTTTTTGAGATATCTTACTGGTGTTCATGTTATTGTGTCCACCTCTTGCAGAAGAATGCCTCTTGTGCTCCTGAGATGAGACCCACAGAACATAAAACACATTAATTTAATCTCTATATATATATTTACACAAATCCTTTCAAGTATATCAGGCATCTGAAACCAGCAAATAGCACGTCCAGCTGGCCAAAACATTTCATATCAAAATATAGTCAATTTAGACAAGGATTCTGAATACATTTAATCACGCATGAATTGATTTTAATTACAGAATTTAATTTGTGTGACATACTGCAGCTCTTTCCCTAGTTTCAATTATATCCCCCCCCATCATAAATATCTCTATGTACTAAAGAAACACACAAAAAAAAGACACAAAATAAAGTCAAACACAGGATTCAACCTTGAACATTCAAATGAGATCCAGAATCTGTAAAATCACACATTGTTCTCCGGCCAGATGGTGAGCTCTGGACTGGGCGTGTCCCAAAAATATACAAGGGTATGAATAATGCATTGGATACGACTTATTTAACAGTGTTCCTCTGGATGTGCACGCAGACTCACACATACATATTCACACATTGAGAGATGCAAACATGCACACACGCAGGTTTAGACCATTAAAACGAGCCAGGGGTCCACATCTGCTGAATGCTCCCGGTGGTGTGTGTCCAGGATGTGTGAGGTTCATTGACAAAAACTACTATTCTACTCTATGTTGGCACCACATAAAAAACATAAGTTATACGCTAAGTTGTCCAAAATGTCCACATTTGGCACTCAAGACAGTCAACTCATCTCCGTCGTCTCTTCTGGGACATTCCAATAGACTTTGTTCCGTGATGTGTGTATGCAGTGCAAAGTCTTACCCAGCTAAATGAGTGAGAGAATCCAGTGGGCAATACAGTCTGGCTCAACCTCATAAAAGTGTCTTTAGCAGCAAGCTGTCATTGACAAAACTTGGCTGGAATATAACACTGGACGGCTTCGTATCGAGATAGTTAATAAGAAGAAGGGGCCGACTTCTGAAAGACCTTCTGAAAGGTCCAGATCAAGCCACAAAGGTACGAAAAATCTTCAAGGAGGCGTCCCCTGCAGACCTAATGTTGGATATCAAGGGCAACAAAAAGTCAATGTAATGAATGAGTCAATTATTCCACGTCCCGTTGATGAAAGTTCCTCACAGGGATTTTGTTCTATGACGTGTCCAAGGGTTCGCGGTGAAGATTCAAAGCCGATGGTGTACCATGCCTCTCACTGGAGACTTCTCAGAATTCTCAGAAATATCTGCTAGTTTTTTTATACATATTTGTTTTTACTGAAGGTTAAAACCTGTTGTAAAGTTTGAGAGTCTCATAAGAGAATGGACACAATGTTCTGGTTTAGTGATTGGCCTCAGTATTTTTTGTAGCAGGATGCCGATGACACTGCAGAACAATGGAGAAAAAAGACAATAATGAGATGAAATAATGTTTTGTAAAGTTGTTTACACAATTGTACATTTTTTTACATCTGAACAATGACTGGTAATTTTTATGTAAAAGTCACGATAGGTATCTTAGCAAGTCAAACTTATGTAACACTTTCCGTAGCATAACTCTGAATTGAAAACCACCACATAAGGTAACGTGATTGCTACTGCGACGCAAAACAAGGTGAAATATGCACCGAGATCTAATGAACTCTCGCCTGTGGGAGACACTTTATCATTTCTTATTAAAAAAAAGACAATGATTCACTGTAATAAAGTCTGTTTGCGAGTTGTTTTGTAGACGTCGATTGCCTAACTGCACCTGTTTTGTTACATTACCGTCAGATCCAGGAAGCGCTTCCTCTTGTTTTTTAAATCAAAAATAAATTCAATTTAATAAACCATGAAACACTGAAGGAGCCAATTTGAAGCTGTTGAGGATACTATTATCTTTTTTTTACCCTCACTATGCAGGATGAGAAAACACAACATCAACACAGTAATAACCAGCCCAGCACCCCCTCTTTATATTTTCAATTTTCATCTGCAAAACTCTTTACAGACAACATGTGTGCTAATTAAGAATTAAATGAGAGCCTTGTGATTCTCTGCTTGCGCACTGTTGGAGATTATAAAACAAGCAGAACTTTATCTAATAAATGCATAAATTAATGACAAATATTATGAAGAGCTTCACTGAGGGAAGGTTGTACGCCATTAACACTCTTGAAGGTCATTCATTTAGACTTCAGCCACAAAACAGCTTTTTAAATCCAGCGGTGATGAGAGCATAAACTATTTTCTTCCTTGATATTCGTTTTTGGTCTTACCGCTGTTTGTTGGATTGCCAGTTGCAGTTGAAGTGCCAAATAGGGAGCTAGTGTTGCGCCCCTTTCTCTAGGGTCCGAAATACATTTGCATAATGGAAATATATCTGATTGACAAAAAGCCATGACTTAAACAGATGTATAAAACAAGCAATTCCACATATCGCAAGTCTGAAAATGGCTTTATTTGACTTTCCTTATCGCAAATGTTATGAATGATTCTGCAACAGGATTGGTCTATACCTGTATGTGTTACTGGGTTCCTTTCCACATGGAATACATTTCACCTCCAATGAAATCCTGAAGCTAATGACTTAATCTAACCAATCTTTTGATCAAGAAAGCCATTTGAATGATAATAGAACTTTGCCATGAATATGTTATATGGATAAATCCATAAATGTTAATCCATAAATGATTCACAGTGACAGTGGACAAATGTGACACCCAGGACTGCCCATATAAATCATTCAGACACTTAAATATGAGTTGGCAAATCCACACAGAATTGCACAAATTCCCAGGGCTGGCAAATAAATATTTATGACGCCCCCAATTCCCCCTTTCTCCCTGTCCTTGGTAATTGTGCGTGATTCATTTTGTTTTCTCGGTGGAAGAGGGAAAATCAATCTCAGAGTATTGGCTAGGAGACATATAGCATGCAGATTCCCAATGCCTGTGGTTTCGCAGTATATAAAAAGCTTAACAGATACTCAGTCAATGTTTTTGGGAGGGGAATTTAGTTTCATCTATAGATTTCCTTGTTTTTTAGAGAACAGATTGTTTGTGGAAGTTGCCAGAAAAGCGAGCCAGAATCTAGATTACCTGCCGACTTTTAGTATTGACTTCTGCAGACACACACATCTTAGGACTTTGTTGGAATTGGCATATACAGTTGAAGAGGATTCTTAAAAGGCTCCTTCTTGTGGTTTTTGCTTTTGTGAAGGATGCTCCAGTTCAAATCAGTTTTCTACCTTTGTCCTGAAAGAAAGCCTAGACACTTGAAGTAACCTCTCCCTTTGATGTTAGCACAGTGGGGCTTTTTACTTTCCATCCTTACGCATTTGAAAACGCTCAACAACCCCCTTTGATTTACTTTTTTTGACTTTGCCATCATCAAAGTTACGACATCCTGAGAAACTTGTCTTCTCCATTTCCTGGATGATCTTTATTTGAGCTCAGCAGTACTGCGATATACATAACATCAACACACACTAATGGCTGACTCATTCCAGGTCAGAGCTACACTGAACATGTATACAACTTGCAATTTAGGCATGGCTTCTGCATTCTCCCTTAAGAGTCATTATTTCAGGGTTCTATGCGATATTACAATCAAAAATGTCTTCGGTGGCTTGTATGTCAAAGTGAGGGTTATACACTTTTTATGCAAATGAAAGAACAGAATGGGAAAAAGTACGTACTTGCCGTGTTCTCCACATCCTACGACGGCTCCTTGGGCAAAGGCTGCAAGGGAGAAGTACAAGGTCAGCATCGGAGGAACAGAGGGCCAGCCTTCACTAACGTTTGTTCAACTTTGCCTCAGTGTACTGGCCTTGGATGCAGAGCAGCATATGTCAGTTCAAAAGCATAGGTGGCCTGTCTTCCAATTATATCTAAGGCGAGGCGATGGAAACTGAAGGTTATTTTGTTCCCTCCCCAGTTTTATGACCTCTGAGGACGGCGCTTCTCTCCCCGACCAGAAAATACGAGCGAGTAATGGCCAACTCATAATCCGCGTTAACGACTGAGAGACCTTTTCTTTTCTTCCATCAACGCCATCACATGGACAGAACATTTTTATCACATTAGCTGTAGGGCAGGGTGATACACAGTGTTCCACTTTGTTTCTCTGTGAACAATAACTTCTTGCCTCCTACATTCATCTGTAGAACACGTGAAAGCGCATTGTTTTCCCCCTGACCGGAGGAAGAGAAACAGCTCCCTTGCCTTCTTAATATTGGTGAATGAGCAACTTTTGTGTAGATAATGACTCGGCTAATCATAATCACGAACCTAATGGTCTGTTTAGCCAATCAGTGGAGGTAAGGCGAGACGGCTGTCTGGGCTGCACATTGGCATTCCCAGCAGCCCCTGCTCTCTGTGCCAGGCTGTGCGCTGCATGCGAGCTGTACTTGGTATTCTGCGCCCTCCCCCCCCCTCCCCCCCACTCCG